AAAATCCACAAAAATCCTGGCTCCAAATATTCCATAGTCTTGTGATATTTAGAATCTGGAATTGAATTTTCCATCTTGTGCCCCTCACCGGTTATTCTAGCCTTTATTTTTAATGACTGTTCTTATGGAGGGGTTGGTGTTAGAGTGTGCCTCACTGGGATGGAGATCCATGGTTTCCGGGTGGAGACCAATGATACCTGACAGAAGTACGTTGGTGGACACTGAGTATGGCAATCATTTGCCAAACACACTGTCAGGTTTACTCATTCCAACAAAATGAGTTGACATGTAGTGTCTTATCCTGAGATCTTGCCCAGGCAATCCCCCCTTTACCCCTCCCCGACCCCAGTGAGGCTAATCAATGTCTTGCCTAAGAAATGACAGCACGACTGGGCCCTTCATAGCTCTCAATGAACAGAGGGCCTTATCTAGTTTCTATTAAAGTCAATGGCAAAACTTCCATTGGCTATAATGAGAGCCAAAATCACTTTACTCAACTGGCTTCACTGTATTATTCATGTAATTACTTTATGTATTAGAACAATGAATAAATGAAACTTTATGTACACCCAAATGGAATTAAATAAATAAAACAAAATATAAACCAGCAATATTTTGTGCCGCTGGGGCCTGATCCAAAGCTCATGGAAACCAACAGAAAGACTCCAGTTGGCTTTGGATCAGGCCCCTAGTGGAGATAACATTTCTCATCACAGATATCACAAAGCAAAAATACCAGCAATTTAGACTGTTCGCTTCTGAGACAGGAACTGTCTTTTATTTTATATTTGTACAGTGTCCAGCAAAATGGGGCCTGAACTTGACTCAAGTTTATGGATTAATAAATGATTATTAATCATTATTATTATTGATGTCGACTGTTTGGAAACAAATCTAAACATATGCAAAAAATATTGTTTTGATTATCAGTCTGCCTTCTAAAACCCAGTTTTCCCAATGCCAGGGTTTATTTTCCACACTTAATTCAAGAGCTTAAGGCCTAAATTGTTTTCTTTCTAAGTTTGTTTAACATCTTCAGGGCCTGATATCCGGGGCCTCCAGAAATTAAACTCAAGAACATGCATTCACCATTTACAAAGCAGAAGAATCAAATGAGTATATTTATTTCATACCCTATATGAATGATGCCCCATAAATTATTATGGGGTCAAAGTGAAGGGTAAATATTCTGTTCCTAGTCATATTAAAATGGACAAGGTGGACCATGATTCTATCTAGCAAACTTGTCTATGTCTCTTGCTCTAAACTATATGCTCCTTTTGGTCCAAATCAGTTCCTTCTTGGCTTAAAGAACTCAGCTACCATCTCCCAGGGAGCATCTTGACAGCTGAGAATGTACCCATCTGCCAGCTGACAGATTGAATTCACTCCCCTGCTCTTCAGAGGCCGTCTATGAAAATAACCCTCCTATCAATCATTCTCACTCCTTAGCTAGACACTGCCTGCCATAAAGGGATGTAAAGTAGCGAGATTATTAAAGAAAGGGGGAGAAAGAAAATGGACATGCATGGAAGACCAGACCTGGCAGGAATAACTGTCAGACGAGATGGCTGGGTACAATCTATCAAGTAGCAGATGGGTATAGTTCCTGGCAGGGGCTCCTGTAAATCTGACAAATCTAATAACGTTTTCTATGTATATCCTTAATTCCCTCCCCTCTTTGGTGGAATTCTTCGTCTCTGAACTATTCACTGCTTTGGAAGATAAAAGAGATTCTATTTTGGGGGCCAGAAACCAACACTCGGTATGAAAGATCCACCCTGTTCAATCTTAACACAATCATTTATGACTTGTATTGCAGTAGCACGTAGGAACCCCAGTCCTGGGCCAGGACCCATTGTGCTAAGCACTGTAAAAACACAGAACAAAATGACATTCCCTGCCCCAAAGAGTTTACAGTCTAAGTAATCTTATCCCCATCCATTTGTGCCTCTGGGCTATCTCACTCCACTGCCAGGGTTTGCTAGGAATAAGACGACTTTACAAAAAGAGAAATGAAATCCCAAGTTCCCCTCATCCCCCACTCCTGCACACATCCCATCCCACTGGATGGGAACACTGGCAAATCCTTTGTAACCACCAATCCTTTCACCGTACTAGGGCTTATCTACCCTGGGGTTTTATGCCAGTGCAGCTACACCAGTGCAAACCCCTAGAGTAGGACACACCGCAGTGGTGTAAAAAGTGACTTGCACCAGTGAGGCTTACCCCGCTTTGTCACCGACAGCTGGGCATCATACAGCTGCATTCACACAACACAGCAATCAACAATTTAGCCACTGGTCGCCACCACAACTAGATCCATGATGTAGGTGCTCAGCACCCAAAGGGCAGGCACCCTGTTTGCTGACACCCTCCCTCCCAAACTTTCAGAGATAATTAAGGCCTGAGGGCAGAAGGAGAAAAACACACCAGTGAGCCATCTGTGTAATAATAACCCACATGGCCCTGGGGAGGTGTGAGGAATGCAAAGTAGTCTGCAATACTCACTCCCCAGCAAGCTGGTGAAGAGGGATGAGAAAAGCAGTTTGGGCCACACATGAACATGTGGAATTTTTACATCGCTCCTCAGTTTGAGGATGTCGTCACGGACCATTTCAATATACATCTCAGTGTACCCCCATCCACAAAATGGCATCTGCTAGCCAGTGTTAGCCGACAACTCTTCTGGGATGCTAAAAACTTACCCCAGCGTCCCACACCCTCCTTGGTGTCCAAGCTGGCTCTTGGGTTTCTTCTGCTACCCTATACAATTACTGAACCACTGCTGCTGTATGTGATCACCTAGCTGACAGATCCCTGGCCAGGATGAGGCATGAGGGATGTTAGAACTATCTCATGGGTGGGAATGGAGGGAAGAAAGCACAAGTAAGAAACCATCTCTTTGTAGCACCCTCACCTCCCATCTTAATCCCCTTTTCTATTTTGATTTTGACACTCTCCTGGTTGCCCATAGAAACCACTTAGCAATATGTACCAGGAGGGCAGATCTCAGAGAGACAGCTACTGTATTTCGTGACAGTTTGAACTCACATTATCTTTGTGTAACAAAAAAAATCTCCTAGTGACATCTTTAATTTAACCTCCCCCAACACAGACACACATTTCTTTAACGGATCAGGAGGGAGTCCTTTATGTTTGTCTCTCACACTCCTTTTCTCCTTTAAGACTGAATAGTAGGCATATCCAAGCAGCAAGCTGCTTCATGTTTTTACAGATACCCTTCCTGCCTTTGGACATCTCCATGAGATGTACCAATACACATCACTTCTTCTTTGCATATCCTCTCCCCCCGCCTCAGCCTTCTTGCAGGATTGGGTTCAAAACAAAGCTCTTGGCAGTGCTTTAAACAGTCAGCTCATCCCAGGCTTTACAAAGTGTCTTTGGCACATGTACTTTTTGTTTCATCACTTCAATATTCCTGACAACCTCAAAGTCATGGGAGATGCCATGTCACTTAGTTCTCATCCACAGGGCCTTGAGCTTAGGTGGAGATTTCCCCCCGATTCATAGGAATATCTGCTATATACCAGACAATCCAGATCTTCATGGACATTCTCAAGCCTCAAACAAGGTCAACAAATCCCCCTCTGAGTAGAAAGAAAAAGAATAGGTCCACTGCCCTCCTTAGTGCCTTCATCTGAGTGCCAGGGTTCTGAGGCTCAGTCTTATTCATGAGCGAGCATCATGGCCCCCATAGTGTTCCCCATTTAGACTGAGGGTCCAGTCTGCTGTCCCTCTTCTACTCACACAGACATGTCCCCTGCCTAATCTCCTTCTTACCTGAGAGGGGGAAGCTGAGAGAAGTGGTGAGCTCCCTGCCGAATGGGACGGGCTGCAGGATCTGCAAACTTCCCAAGGTGATTAAGTCCTCATGTTATAGTGACATTTGATCTTCTGGAGAAGCCGATTGGCCACCAGGCCCACAATGTCAGGCAGGGAAGGAGCAAGGGAGTGGGGGGAGGAAAAGGGAAAGAAGGTCATACCAAGTATAGGAGCAGCTGGAGGAATTGCATAGATTATGCTAAGATGGGAGGGACGTGTTTGGAGAAAAAACCCTGCAGGCTTATGTTTCTATATTTATAACCCAACCATGCAAGCAACATTTAAAGAAGGGTATCCAAGGCAAGGAAGCGACAGGCTCTCCTGCATGCACTGGAGTGCAGTTCTCATAGAAACACAGAGATAGGTGGGGTATGGTATTTAAAAGAAGTCAGTCATGGCCCTCCCACAGCACTGGCAATAACCACCACCCTCTAGGCCTAGCGGAGACCCTCGCTCTTGCTATGCTAAAGGTTTAAAAGGCTTGAGCTACATGGTGCATTTGGGATTCAGGAAGGAAATGCTGACATACCACTCTTTCGGTGTGATACTCCTCACATTTCCACCAGCAGGAACTCAGTGGAGTGACACTGGTGTGTAATAGATCAGAAGCGTGTTTTGGGCGGGTACGTGCACAGCACTGAGAGCTGAAAAAAATGAGCAGAAGATTCGAGCAGACACTAGGGACATGTCAAAGAGGAGTAGGGTCTTTTTAAAACACGGCGAGTGCGGTTGTTTGACCATCTCCTGGAGACACATTTCAAGTGCCTTTCATTGCAATGAGAAGAGGCTTTTAAAATTAGGGCGTCTCCCATAAATGATTGAAGCATGGCAGGCTGATTGCTGCACCCAGATCTGTGAAAGTTTGAGGGAATTAGGGGATTCCTGGGGATCCCATAGGCCCTGGAGATACAAGAACAAACTCCAACCAAAAGAGAACCCTTGGAAGGATTTGGTTTGTTGATGCACTGAGTGCAGTTGCATTAATTTGCCAGTAGAGGTTTGCAGTGCCTAATACAACCCTTGTGATACTGTTTCCATTTCACACTGCTTCAACCTCACTCTCCCCCCCCCCCCCCCCCCCCCCCCCCCAGTTGGCAGGGGTCCCCAGCAATATAGACCATGCCCTCCAGTGGGGCTGACAGCTTTAGCAGCCCTCTTTGCTATCAGCCGGTAAGAGCAGAGAAAACGTTTAGGTCAGGAGCTGTGGGGCTGCTTTTATTTTTGGCATGCATCATGGATCAATTCCTTCGCCCTCTCCCTGCCATTTGTAGGAAGTGAAGAGTCCAAACCAAGGATGTTCAGACAGGTTTTTAAGCACAAGGAGCTGGGAGCAACAAGTTGCAGCCTCTAACCATCACTCAGCACTCACCAGGTAATGTACAAAAGCAAAAATTGTGTTTTGAGCTTTTCATTCTTTAGACATAGGCTGTTTTTCCCCCTCCCCCTTCCCCCGAACTATATTGAAACAAGATTCTTGAGGGTTTGCTGGAAAGGAGGGAGCTCTTGCTAAAACGTGGAAAGGGCTCACATCTGTCCCCAGTGCTATTATTCTGTAATTCACATAGGGGAAGAAGGAATCTGACTAGTGTATGGGTTGGGTTGGAAACCCCACACAGTTGAGATGGGGGAATCCCTAGCAAAGGTGCACAGGTATTAGGACATATAATGTTGGTTTTTTCCCCTCTCACAGGGCCACTGAAAGCACTAATGCAACGAACACACATTTCTGTTGCATTTTCAGCACCATTAAGCATTTTTGCTATATTTGGCTAGATCATTGCCCCTAGGCAATCGAACGGCTGGCATTTCTCCAAGAAATACTGCCTTTGATCAAATAGTGGCTCACGGATGTAATGTAAGGGAATACCACATTTTCCTCTCCCCGTCTTTTCTATGAACTGTGTATCATGTTTGGCAATGTCTAAGGGTGTGTATTTGCTAGTCTCACTTGACTAACTGCTTGCCTATTATAGTCTGTCTTTAGTGCTGACATGGCATTTTGTCCTACTCTACAGTAGAGGGCTCAGGGACTGAGGTGCATTGGTAGAGCTGTGTACAGGACAAAAACTGTACAGTGCCTGCTTGCACTGTGTTGGTCTCCTGTCAGTTGACCTAGTCCCTTATTTGGAAGCAGAGAAGGAAAATTCACTGGATTTCACCAACAAAAACCAAGTGAAAAGAGAGAAATAAACTGGAAATCTATTGCCTTGGCTGGTATGAATCTGAGCAGCTCCATTGCCTCCATCAGCTGAGGATCTGGCCCATTTGTTTTAAGTCCTTCGGTGGAAACAAACTGAGCATCTTGCAAAAATGGGAAGCCTTCGTCTGGCTGTCCATGTATGACCTGCAAGGAAGCAAGGGCCTTTCAACCCAGCACCTGAATAACCAGGATTCCCTTTTGCTTGGCAGTTAAAACAAACATTTTAATTTAGGTTGTCATGGGGTATACAAACCACACACCGGGCCCAAAGGGGCTAAAAGGCAATACTAGGCCCAGGTAGCTCTGGCCTGCTGCGCACGCTCTGGCTGGAGGAGGGAGTTAAAAGGAGCTCAGAAGCCCAGGCAAAGGGTGGTGGACAGTCTGCAGGAGAGACAAATACTTTTGTTAAGCCATTGCGTGTTTGGACTGTTGGGGCCACACCCCAAACTGAAGGAGCACATAGATAGGAAGTAGTCCATGGTGGAAGACTTAGACTCCCTGCAGGGAGGATCCTGCCCGGGTTACTTCCCACAAGACCCCGGGCTGCGGCCCAGTGGAGAGGGAGGGCCTGAATCCCTCTACCAAGCCCCACTTAAGGGCAAATGTCCAGACAGGAGTTGAGGCCAAGTCATTTCCGGTCTAGTGGCAGGAACCAGGCACCCCAACTGCGCCTCCCCCTCCCCTTCGACAGACAAGGTGCTGGAGGACAGGTGTGCTAACAGCTAGGTCACCCAACCCTCCATGCCCCCCGTCACATTGATTTTTTTGGTGGACTGTTGATCCCGTGTCTCTCTGCATCATCTCTCTGCTTCTTGACTCACCTGTATGCTCCATGCATCTAATCTCAGCTCCATGCTTCATTTTGAACATCTATAGTATCTACTCCGTGCATCGTCTACTGTATCTGTTCCCTGTGGCTCTGATCCAAGTCTCATTGAAAATCAACAGTAAAATTCCCGTTGACTCAACAGGTGGAGGATCAGGTCCAATGTGGTCCATTTGCTCTGTGAAACATCTTATCAATATGCTTTCTCATGACACCCCTCTGATCACATCTCTGAGTAGCTCATGTATACATATCGTGCTATGCATAACATATCCTAATCTATGCATGATCTTTCTGTTCCTAGCATGATAAAGGTTTCTTCATACATGATCAATTGGCACCAGGCATCGTCTCTCTGAAAGAGAAGTTAGCTGATTCATGCATTCTCAATTTGTTCCGTGATCATCTGGATCATGACTATATCATCTCTCTGGCTCATGCCTCATCTGTAGTTGGTATGCATTCTCTGTCTTCTCTTTGCATATCATCTCTGGCTCATGCTTCATGCCTGCTTCATAATAATAACCATATATATCTAGACTTTTTGTTTCATGGTTCATCCATCTGCTCCATATGTTATCCATGTACAAGGTGTCTATTTCTTGTTTCATCTCTTGATTCCATGCATCTGTTTCATACATCACCTATGGTATTTTCCCCATTGACCATCTCTCTGTTTTCTGTATTGCCTGCTCTGTATACTTTCTTTTTGTTCTATCCACTCTTTCTTACACACATCATCTTTGCTCCTTGCACCCATCTCTCTATTCTTTGCATCATCCATGAACTGCCTGAAGAACATCATCTTGTCCTCTGTACACCATCACCAACATGAAGAATAAGCTATTGGCAACAAATTATCCTATACTTGCTAATGAATTAATTCCCCAAACAATGGAAGATGATCATTCATATCCAGTCTTACATTAGGGTCTAAGATCTATGGGACTTTAGTTAAGTGAGGTTGTGACAAGCTACGTGGCTTGTTAAACCACATCTCTATCTGTCTATAAGATGACATTAAGGAAAACAAATGTAGGTGTGACTATATCTCATGTGTGTATGTTTGAGTCACAAACAACCTAGATAAAGGACATTTTGCTGCTTATCTCAAACCTTATGGAGAGGGTTTGCTGTATTTTTATATGACACAAACTTTTCTTCCAGAGCAGGATACCTGATACCAATTTTCACCTTTTATTAGGAACCAGTGCCTGAGATATATATATATAGAGACCGTAGGAAAATACCCATAGAATAAACTTAAGCAAACATTGCACCTCCTTTCAATAGGGAACGGTGCCAAGAGTGGTTAGTCAGGGGTATCCATAAGGAATATACTGCATCACATGCTTGCTGTGTGTAGGAGTTGGAATCAGACCTTTCCATGTGTTCCCTCTATTGGCTGACCTATTGAAGTTAATTATTCATCTCACAGATGGAGTCCAGTGTTTCTGAATTCTTATCTAAATGCTGGGAAGAGGACATCACTGATATAAAGAGAGATCTATTTCCCTTACATTTCACAATCCTTGCTCTTTAGATTACTCAGAGCACAGGTATCACCCGTCAGGCCAGTATAAACATTCAGGGACAGATTCTCTACTGTTCTCCAGCTTCTTTGTGTGCTTTCATGACACAGGAGCTGGAAAGCAGTCAAGGCCATCCAGCTGAGAAGTACCCCAGCACAGGGGGAGCTCTCAGCTAGTAAACAGCGAGCATATCCAACTCCTATAGGAGTTTTCTTCCACCTCTGTATAGGGGGCTGTAGTGGGGTGGACACCCTGCTCTGGCCCTGAAAGCATTAAAAGCCAGCCCTTGGAGAGGGCTGGGGCGGAGAGCCAATAAGGAGAGGCTGGGAGGCAGCCAATCGGGGCCAGGCTTGGCCCTATAAAAGAGCTGCCGGGCCAGAAGGCGAAGAGTCTCACTCTAGCCCTGGAGTGGGAAGGGCTAGCTGCCTGAGAGGAAGGTACCTGAACTGGAGCAGTGCTGGGGAATAGACGCAAGGGAGCTGGGGAGCTCCAGCCTGGTAAAACCCCAGGCTGCAGGCCTTGTTGAAGGCCTACAAAGGTACTGGGGCTGCAGAGATACAGTCTGGGAATAGGCAAAGGCAGCAGGTCCTAACCCATTGCCAATGATGAGTGGCCATTACAGACTGCAGTCTGCCCCAGTGAGCGGGGGCTAGATGATGACTGGCAGTAGCCACTGAGACAAGGTGGGTTTAGAGGGTTGGGGGTTCCCCTGGGAGGAGAGACCCAGAGTGTGAAGGCACTGCTGGGGAAGAACCCCGAGGTAAAGGGCACCAGGGTCCAGTAGGGACACGGGGCCAGTGGCAGGTGAGACACTGGCCTGCAGAGGGTGTTCCATACGCTGGAAAAGAGCTAATTCCCAGATGACCAGCAGGAGGTTCTGCGCCGGTGAGTTTCACTTTGCTACAGGGGCACGCGGCACAGCCAGTGTGTGCTCTGCTCCGGCAATCCCCAGTTGGCCTATCATCCCCTGGGGAACATGGTCAGTTGGTGTAAGATAGAGCTGCCCCAGTACAGATGGCACTGGGTAGATACACTGTGAGACTCTAGAACTACAACCAGCTCCCCACCATTCCCACAGCTCTCAGGTTCCAGATGTAATGGCACCCACCCTAGTAATTTAGGAGAGTTATGTGAAATCCTGGAAGCAGGGATTTTTGTCCAGCTTTTGCATGCGAGAGGAAAGTTTAGCTATCGAAATATCACAGCAAAGGCAGAAAGCAAGAAGGTCATTAACCAGCAGGAATAAACAGAGGACGCTGATCATCTACACATAAGTCCAGCAGGAGAAAACAAAGGGCTAGATCCTCAACTGGTGTAAATCAGCCTAGCTCTGTAAAAGTCAATGGCGCTATGATAATATACACCAGTTGAAGTGTTGGCCCATTGTGGCTGGTTACTCTGTTAATATTCTCAGTTGTATTTTATTTTTAGATGCATCTTTTGCATGCACCAAAATAAATAACGGGACTGGATGGATACAGGACTGGCACTAGAATATGGAGCCTTTCACCTTTAGAACCAGGTCAGGCAAAGCCAGTAGTTGTTAGCACCTGAAGGTTCTTTAGTGACTTTCATGAAATGAGTTGATGATCTAGTGAACATAAAGCCACCACCATCACCATTGCTACCCTTGCTGTCAGTCTCAGAAGAGAGGCCACAGATTGAATGAACATGGAAAATGAACTATCCTCTTGCTCCTAGAAGTGGTTCCTGTTAATCCAATTTGAGGTACATTAATGCTTAGGGGGAGTAAATGAGGAAGCTCAGATTGCTGGTGTTAGTGCTGGATAAGCAGAGGAATTCTGTCATCCTGC